GTTAACTTCATTATGATATATTAAAAAACAATTACAGTTTTCCCAAGACAGATTATTAAAACTCCTTGAGATGTATAAACAGTTTAAGGGAACTGCTAGTTCATGTGAAATCATGTGAGTCATTTATTTTAATGAAAGATTTCAGAAAGATACCTGGAGGGATCCATACATGGCTGACTGGTGGATAAAAGTAAAAAATTGAGAAAACAAGGACAATCTCTCAGATGCTCATTAGCTCAAAGTTCCTTTTTGTTCAAGATGCAGCTAAGGTGACCTTAGAGAAGAAACAGCATGAACACTATATATTGTGTAGTCAGTTTCAAACATAGTTTAAGAACACTTCACAAATAGTTATTATAAAACCTTCTCATTTAATTGATTGTATTATTAAAAATGAGTAGAACCCCACTGACTGCGGGAAGAAAATTATTCAAATTGCCTCTGTTATTATTTATAAGCTAACACAATGCAAAAGCATTATGTTGTTATATCATATTCTAATGTAAATTAAACAAGGAGGACCTACATTATAAAATTACATTATAATTACAATTTAAAACAGGGAACTCACATAATTAGAAAGCCACAGGTTTTTGTTGCTGGTTTTTTTTTGTTTTTTTTTTTGTTTTGTTTTTTTTTTTTTTTTTAATGTACCTCAGTGGTCCCAAGAATGATTAAACAATGAACACTGTAGTTGGAAAAAAACATTTAATTATTTATTTATTTTTAAGCTCAAGATTGAATTTTTCCTGGGGCTACATGTTCCTATGTGTCCAAACAAAGATCTTATGGGAAGGTGTATAAGCATATGTAAAGGTTTAGCCTACAAGTTTAATGAGTCAGTGTTTCAGGGAAGTAAAATAATTTGCAGTGTTGGAGCAAGCTAACCCAATGAAAGGAACAAAGATGACAGAAGCATTACACCTAGGTTTCTCAGAACAACTTCAAAAAGCTCAAGCTGTACGGAAGTTCTTGCTTACTCATGGGCTGATCTAGAGCTACAGAATAGTCAAAGAGCAAAAGCCAAATAGCCAAAGAACAAAGAAGATCAGATGTTTACATGAATCCAGAGAAAGTGATACCGTATCTTTTTCTGAGAAATACCTTTTGCTTATAACATTAATATAACTTTTGCAACTAGAACACTGGTCATTGAAAATTTAAGTCATAAATAAGAAGCACCAGCATGATGTAAAAAACTGATACAGTTTGTGCCATGGAAGACAGAACAAAAAAAAAAAAAAAAAAAAAAAAAGAAAAGGGGATGGGTGGGGGAGGAGGAGGGAGGAGGAGGCTGTTAACTATCTGTTAACAGACATGTAGTAAAGGTCACAGATGACATATGAAACATAACCTATTTACTTTTCCTTGTGCAATATACATTGTTAAATTCCATTAGCATAATACATAATGCATAATAAAAAGTTTAATTCTCATTATGATATTATGATTCTCATAAGATGATTAGTAGTGATAATATAATGAAAACAATGGCTTTTTCTATTTTTTCCCTCCCTACCGGTAACACCACCAGAATGTTCCTTTTTCCAGTGATGTCAAACCATCGCTTTACATATAATGGGTTATATGCAAGTATATTTTTATTGTGTAAATATTTTATTTAAATGCAAGCATATCTTTGTGTATAGTGGTTTTCTGAACTGCATTATTAGAAGATAGACATTAGAAATAATCTAAGATATAGAGAAATTAGTGTTTTGCATGGAAAGTAAAGATCTTACATTACTTAACATAGATCAGACCCTGATGAACACCTTTATATGCATCACAGTGAGGTGTCTGCAGTTATTTGGAATCTTAAAGTAAAGAACAAAAAAGTATTTGTTTCTCAGTAGGTTGTAACTTTTTTTTTTTTTAAATTGACTTTTGAACCTCTGTGTCTGAATTGCCATTGTTATATGTATCAGCTTATTTTTAAAAAGTACAAAAATCACACAGAATCACACAGAATCTCTAGGTTGGAAGAGACCTCAAGATCATTGAGTCCAACCTCTAACCTAAAAATCGTTGTAATGTATCCCTTATGCCTCTAGTCTATGAATTAACATGCATCAGAAAAATTCATTTATTATGAGTTAGAAAAACCCTCCTTATTTTCTTATTGCTAGAAGAATGCAGACTAGGATAAAAACAGCACCTGACATAAGTTAGATAGATATTGTGTATTATTCAAAAATAAATAAATAAATAAATAAATAAATAAATAAATAAATAAATCATAGTCAGGTTAGCGTTACAGCCACAGCATTTGTTAATCAGACAATGATGTGATTAATGTACTGGCTGCATAATAAAGTCATGACTATGTTATTGTGGTGTTATTTATTTACTTATTTACATGAAAGAAATAGGAAAATACTCACGATACCCTCAAAATCTCTACCTCTATCTAAAACTACTTCATAATTAGCAAGTTCAATGGATTTATGTCTTTTTTTTTATAAATTCCAGATGCTTTAGGTTGCTACTACAATGTAGAGTACAAACATTTTTTCCTATTTTAAGACAATAAATCTTCATATTTTTCTATATATATTTATAATTACGATATATATTGCTATAAATATTTATAATATCCAGTGATTCTGGGCTGAGATAATGTATTTCTTTCCTAAGGAACATGAACTTATCCTGTATTTAATCATTATTTTCTGAAAATCAGAATATCCTTAACCAGAACAAGAAAGAACAGCTATATAGCACTCTGTGTTGCAGCTTTCAAAAAAAAAAAAAAAAATCTATTGAAACCATAACGATCATAACAATCTTTATAGTATGAAACATTGGTTAATATGGAAAAGCAGGGTCTGCCTCCTTTAAATAGAACCTAGAATTAAATAGCCTTAGGTTTTGTGTTTTTTTGTTGTTTTCTCTTTCTGTCTTTTACTGTTCTCACTCACAACTATCTTTAGAGAAAAACAAGCTCATTTGTAGCTCTCAGAATTCAGAAGAACTTTGTTCTTTTTTTCTTTGTTCTTTAAATTTTGAAATTTAAAGTGCTGAACATCAAGCCATATAATTCAAAAATGAGTGGTCTTTAGAACAAGAAAGAATCTTTTGATAACTGTCACAGAATGGCAGTTCAGAAGTGTGACTCTCACTTTCTAGTCACATGGTGCTATCTTCCCATGTTTTATGTGACATTTGCATTAAAGAAAAAGAAAATAATGACTTTTAAAACTAATTCTATATACAAGGAATACAAACAAGTTGGTTCCTTATAATAGCAATTATTTATTTTTGCTGATATTATTTATTTATTATGTATTTTTACTGATCCACCCTTTAGAATTCTTCATCTTTGAAATGTTTGTCTGAAAAAGTAGGTTACAAAACAGCTGCACACATGCTCAGGATGTGCCCTTGCAGTCATAAACATATTTTACAGGGTCAGTTTTCCTAAGATCACAATCACATCTGTTTCAAATTTATGCCAATATAAAGGTGGAGAAGTGTTCTGTTTTACTGGCTCTTTGACTTTTGCTCACTGTTTCTAGTATTTGCAGGCTATCTGCAACTTAAAGCTGAAGTCTCCTGTGAACCATTCAATTGAGACTGTGAAGTGGAATAGCAAACAGGCACTTGTATGCTTCTTTGAAAGGACATTGTGGAATAAAAGCCTATGGAAATATTGGAGCAAAATAGTCACAAAAACACATACTAGACTAGTGCAGACCCATGTGGAGGAAATAAAAATATCTTTATGGCTAAGAATATGTAATTCTTTTAGACATTCAGGCACTCACTCTTCAGAGGAATTCAAAATGATTTACCATTCTTCATAATTACCCAGATTTTTTTCCATTATAACTTTTCATTTGGAAAGGTAAATATATTTGCACATATAGATTTTTATGTGCAGAAAGTTAAAGTACTAATGTTAAATACATGTAATAAAAGTTATTCATTAGCAATGAAAATGTTTCTTGTTTTCAAGATACTTTTGAATATTTACAGTTAAGATCTAGTAACATTTCTTTAAACAAATAATTAAAATAATTTGTTGCTAACGGGGTTGTTAATGAGGACTGAAAGAAACAAGACTGTTACCCACAAGCATTGAGTGGTAATACACACAACACTGCCCCTTTGGATAGTTTCTTTCTATTTCCTTCCTGCTCTTGTTGCCGTGTAATGTAATGGTCTTCCTTTCTGAAGAGCTATAGCAATAGACAAAACAGTGAGTGTAGCAGCTCCTGGGCTTTAAGTCAATCCATCCTTGGCTAAGTTACTGTGTCCCACTCCTAACTGAGCTTCCTTCCTACTTTTTCTTTGGAGAGTACTGACTGAGTAGTCACTACATATTATGTCTCTTCTGGACTAGTTCAACTTTTATCAATATTTTGCAAGTAATATGATATCATTTAGATCTTTCTCCATTTTAAATAGAGTAGGCCCTTCAGACATTGAATAAGTGCTTAAACTGAGCTCTTGATGAATACCTCAAAAGGGTGACTTAGTATTGTTATAATTATTTTATTGTATGTGTGTGTGTGCGTGTGCACGCATGTGTGGAATTCCATGCATAAATACAATAAGTTAAAAGCAAAAGAGAAAAATCAAAATAATATTAAAAAAAAATAAATAAAAATGTGAAGAAAGTAGAATAATGAAATGTGCTTCCATTCATTTCAAAATTGTATAACTTCATTATACCATACACCAAAAAAAAAAAAAAAAAAAAAAAATACATCAACGTCAAACCTAGTTCCTCAAAATAAATAGTATAATCTGAGGTAAATTAAAAGATACAAAGGCCTTTTGATAACATTTTTGTTTGATACTGTTCAATTAGAGGTTTTTGTTCAGTTCTTCATATTTGCTACCACGGAACCCTCCCAATATATAAAACTTCAACATTGTCCTATGATTACATACCTGCTTGCACAGTTATGAGAATATGTTCCACCAAAGTAACATGCCTGAACCCTAACAAATGGGTTTTGTGGAAGTATTTGAGTCTTTCTTGTCTGCCTTACCAACACTTGTCACCATAGCACTGCAGTATCACAAAGTGGCGGAAGCTGGTCAGAACCTCTGGAGATCTTCCAGTCCCAATCATGCATGCAGCTGTGTACCTCAGGGCCATCTTCTGGCAGGTTTAAGTATCTCCAAGCATGAAAATTCCATAGCTTCTCTGAGAAAATAAATAGATAAAAATAAAATTTCTCCATTATATGTATATATATGTATATATATTTGTATTTCAGTTTGTGAGTATTGCCTTTATTTTCTAACACTGAACACCATCAAGTGTCAAGTTTTGTCTCCTTTTTTTCCTTTCATCAAGTTAGTATACATGCAGAGAAGATCCCATGAACCTTTTCTTCTTAATAAACATTGTCAGTGCTCCTAGCCTCTCCTAATAAATGAACCAACCTCTTAAAATTTTTTGTCCTTCCCTAGACTCCCTGAAATATCTCCATGCTTCTTCTGTACTGAGAAGTCCAGAATTGGACATAGCACTCCAGGTGTGACCCCACTAGTGCTGAGGAGAGGGGAAGGATCACTCCCATGAACCTGCTTCCAATATTTCTCCTAATGTGTACTTTGTAACAAAGGGCGCATTGCTGTTTATGTTCCACTTAGTGTCCACAAGGACCCTCAGAACCTTTTATGTAAAGTAGGCTTTCCAGCTGGTCAGCACCCAGCCTGTGCTAATGCATGAACTTACTCTTTCACAGGTACAGGACTTTACACTTACCTTCACTGAACTGCTTGACATTCCTGTCAGCCCACCCATCTGGTGTTATCAGTCTCTCCTCCCACTTTCACATTATCTGCAGACTTGCTGAGGATACGCTCCACCTTACCATCACAAACTTTAATGAAGCTGTTAAACAGTATTAGACTCAGTGTTAATATCTGGGATACACTGTTAGTGACTGGAGTCCAGATGAACAGATCATAAATGCCATGGACCACACCATCTTCAGCAAGGCTCTTCAGCTATTTCTTTTTTCAGCTGACTTTCCACTTACCTAGACCATATTTTATCAGTTTGCCTACAAGGGTATTATGGGAAACAGTGTTACAGGCGTTGCTAAAGTTGACATAAGCAACATCCACTGCTCTCCCTTCATTCTTCATACCAGTCACATCATCATGGAAGGCTGTTGCATTGGTGGGGCAAGATTTCACCTTCATACATCCATGCTGACTACTCCTGATTACCTTCCTATTCTCAATATATTTGGAAAGAGTGTCCAGGTTTATTAGGTCCATGACCTTTCCAAGCAATCAGAGCCTTCAGTTAACCTAGATCCTCATTCTTGGTCTTCTTGGAGATGACTGTAACATTTGATTTCTTTCAGCCCTCAAGAGCCCTATTTCTTTCAGCCCTCAGGAACCCTGTTTCATCAGCATGACCTTTCAAAGATAACCAAGAGGGGTTTTTCAATGATATCACCCTGTTCACTCAGCACTAGTGAGTGCATCTCATCAAGTGCAAGGACTTTTGTCTATTCAGTTTATATATATATATATATATATATATATATATATATATATATATATATATATATATATATATATATATTCTCTAACCTGATCCTCCATTACCAATTTTTAAACCAGTTCCCTCCTTGAGGTCCCCAAATCCACTATCTCATGGTTACCCTTAGCCTGTACATCCCCAGCCAGTGTATCAGGTCCTGAAGAACACCTTCACTCACTGGCTTTTCAGACACCTGTGTCACAAAACTGACACCAAAGCACTCCAGAAACCTTCTGGATTGCTTATGCCCTGCTTTGTTGTTCCTTCAACAGATACCAGGGTGACTTAATGTTCTCCATGAGAACAACAGCCTGTGAAAGTGATGCTTGTTCTGACTCCTGAAGGTCTCATCTGCTTATTCTTCTCTATCAAGGTGATCTGAAGCAGACCCCCACAACAATATCATATCACCTATTTTGGACTGCCCACTAATCCTGACCCACAAGCTCTCAGCTGTCTGTTCCCTGAAGTGCAATATATCCCTTCAGCTGTCACCTGTCACAAGTTGAAGAAGTCACCATTTCAGTTCTATCCTTCCTAAAGAGCCTGTATCTGTCCATGCCAACACTCCAATCACGAGGTATTCCATGCTGACTTCATGATCCCAATGATATCTTAGCTCCATAACTTCATGCAGATTTCTAATTTCTCCTGTGTGGTTCCCATGCTGCATGCATTAGTAGCGTATAGGTGCAGTAAATGGATACCCAGTTATGCTCATCTCCCAGCAAATGTATGAGCTTACTTAATATTTCTGTCCTGTCCACCTTCTTTATTTGTATACATGCTCTTGAGATGACCTAACTTTAGTCCTGTTTCACCTGTTATAAGATCTCTCTTGTCCATATCACCCTGGATCAGTTGTTTGCCTGCCTTGACCATCACGTCTTCATTTGATTCTCAAGTACACTGAGACACAATATATTTCTAAACATTTTATGTATTGCTAGAGTACTGTACTGTGATCATGATAACGGTTTCTATTGCTTAGGCTAGCGTACTATTTCAATAGCCAACCTCCAATGTCTGTCTGGGTTTTGCTGTGAAATGCACAAAAGTAATGCATTTTTGTCACATACGACTGCACGCGTGTTTGCAAAATTTTCACAATTTGAGAGCTTTATAGCAGTGAGCACTTTGAGGAATTTTGTTGTTCTTTTTATGTTATTCTAATAAATAAATAAATACATAAAAAGAGAGAGAGGGAGAAAGAAAACTGGCTTAATTTAATTTTAAATGGAAAAGTATGCATGTAGTTACAGAAAAATAAAAATAAAAATAAAAAAATAAAAAAATTGAGGGATCCTGAATCATGTATGTGCCAATGTTAAAACTATAGAGTCACAGATTCATAGAATCATAGAATGGTTCATGTTGGAGGAGACCTTAAGGAACATCTAATTCCAACTCCTCTTGTCATGGGCAGGGACACCTTCCACTAGACCAAGTTGCTCAAAGCCCTGTTGAAACTGACCTTAAATACTAGCTGACATGCAATAATTTAATGTTTTGTCATGAGGATTGAGGTCAATCATGCCATAAAAGAGCAAACATATCTCAGAGTATACATTGTCACAAAATGTAATATCAACATGTGAAATAAGGATTTGAATTCAGTGTGGTATATAATGTAGGTCTAATGTCTACAACAGAGAAGGGTGCCTTTGACAGAATTTACAGGAAAATATGTTCTTTAAATAAAAAATAAATAAATCTTGATAGTGTGTCTTAGCTTAGAAAAACAATATTATCACTGACCATTTCACTCCTTTTGTCAGCAAAATTTCTTGAAATAAAGCTGAAATCAATGGAAGTTTTCTGGCATTAAAATCACATGAGAGGTAATTACAAATGCAATAGGAAACTCTCTGAGATTACTAGCTTCCCTTGTAAATTGTTTCTTTTACGTTTGTATACTGGGTATGATTTATTTTGAGAATGTCATGGATGACTTAGGTATGAGTTAGAGAAAGCTAGTTGATTAGATATTCACTTCTTTAGATAATTAACTATTACTCAGACATGTTTGGATTGTCTATTTGATAACCTCCCTAGAATTTTACTTACTAAACAACCAATAACTATAGTGATGCCAGATAAAAAAAAAAAAAAAAAAAGAAAAGAAAAAGAAAAAAGTACCAATATAGAATATAGTTGTCATAATTTTCATTCACTTACATTTAACCCTTGATAGACTGCAACATTAATGAAGATGTAGCCTCCTGTAGATTGAAACAAATTGATGCTCTTAAGTCTTACAGCTGCTTTCTAAGCTCTCGGTAATTATGTATTACTTAACAGGGAGGTTAAATAAGCCACAAATATAGATTTTCAATCAAACTGAGATAAATTCATAAGCAACTGTATAACTCATGAGATAAAGTGGTTCAGGCATTAATGAGTTATACAGTTGTTTTATGAGCAGGATTAAAAAACAACACAACATAAATGAAAAACAAAAGTGACACTCCCACAGAAAAATGATAAATGCAATTGAGAATATACATATTTGAATTTTAATCAACTTATGAGCTATGGGTGTTTTTATTACTGATTTTGAATGCTAAAATGGAGTAGAACATCTTACAGGACTTGTATGTCAAGACAGAAAATCTTAGTTTGCACAGGTCTTGATTACCTATGGGCTGACTTAAAAATACTTAGATATATTGTCTGATCTCAAATGAAATCTCCAAATTACTAGTGTTCAAAAATTTGAATGATTTCAATATTTTGAAAACATAATATGAAAACAAGATTTTTCTTCTCAAGATTATCCCTAAGAAATACTTCTGTGTATTTATATATATTTATTTGCACAAGAGAAGTTATTAGGTTCTTGGAAGGCATTGATGGTAACTTCCTTCTCCAAATGACAGAAGAGCCAATGAGGAGAGGTGCTATTCTGGACTTCATTATGACCTACAATGAGAGGTGAGGAATGTGAAGTTCAAGGACAGCTTTGGCTGCAGTGACCATGAAATGGTGCAGATTAGGATCCCGAGGGCAGCAAGGAGGCAGCACACCAAGCTCGCTACCCTGGACTTTGGGAGACCAGACCTATCCTCCTCAGGAATCTGCTTGGTACCACAGAACAAAGCCCTGGAGAGAAGAGAGGCTGCAGAAAATTGGATAATTATTCACCGTAAAGATCTGTAGTCACATGGACTAAGCCCCAGAAGGCTGGGAGAAAGGGGAGCTTTCTCCCAGGCAGGGATAAAAAAAGCAGGGACTGGGAGAAAGAATAGCTGCCCACTCTAGTAGAATATCAGGCCCAAGACCAGCTAAGGAACCCTAAGGGGCACAAGTCCATGGGACCTGATGAGATGAATCTGTAGGTCCTGAGGGAAATTGCAAATGTATTTGCAAAGCCACTATCCATTGCATTTAAGAAATAATGGCAGTGTAGTGAAGTTCCCAGTGAATAGAAAAAGGGAAGCATAACATCCCATTCAGAAAAAAAAAAAAAAAAAAAAAAAAGGAAAAGTAAGACTCAGGGAACTACAAGCCAGTCAGTCTCAACTTTGTTCACAGCAATATTATGGAGCAGATCTTCCTAGGAAATATGTTGCAGCACATGTAAAATAAGGAGGTGATTTGTGACAGCCAATACAGTTTCATTAAGAGCAGATCATACCTGG